ACACACACACACACACACACACAGGGAGAGGACGTATAATATCAAGTGGACAAGCGGAAACACACACACACAGGTAGGTAAACACGCCTGGCTGAACTTTCCTTCCTTTCCTCCTGTCCTTGACTTACAACTAGCGAGCGGAATGTCCCCGGCGCTCAGTGCGGACCTCCCCCGATACAGTCGAGCCGGATGGTCCGAGGCTTCCTGTCTGTCCGTCGCTGGAACAAAAAAGCTGAGCTCATGTGGTGGAAACTCGCTCTTCCAGGTGCTGGTGTGTTGTGAGGGGGGGGGAAAAAGCCGAGTCATGGTCGCTTTCCCTGTCCCGTCCGGTCGGTCCCGTGCCCTTTTAGTTCCGACCACCAGCGCTTTATCCTCCCCCGGTCACGTTGTGTAAAAGAAGGACCCCAGTCCTGAGGTCCGTGACACTTGTGCTGGGGGCTGTTCGCTTTACTGAGGCAGATCGACATGGGAGGATTACAATATATATGCACAGATCACTGCATTGCAAGATAACGTCAGTCCGAAGACTCTATGAAGGTTTAGTTGTGATCATAGACTGTATATAAAGGATTGATGAAAGGTTGTGAATGCTGGTAGGAAACAGAAAAAGTGAGACGTGTTCATTCTCGGGTCATTTGCTTTGTTGTGTCTCACTTTCTAGCATGGGACAACGATGTGTTTGGCTCCGTTTTGTGCTTTACACGACAACACACACACACACACACATACTCACACACACACTCACACACACAGACAGACAGCTCTGAGTCCTGAGCAACAGCCTTTTGACAGTTAGACTGATGGCCATCTATTTTCTTTAAATCACATTTTGATCTTCACATTTGTGGAGAATATTCTATTTAAAATGATAAGAAAAGAAAATCGGAAATCTTGTATGAACTTGAAAATGTCATATTTTGAATATAGCTCAACAATACTCAGTGATTGTTTAATGAAAGGGTTGTTGTGATGTGTTTCAGATCTTCAAACAGACAGGGAATGTTAACCGACTGGATTATCCTGATGTGTTTGTGTTAGTTTTGCTTTCATTCAGTTTCAGGCAGTAGCACCTACAACTATTTTATCTATCTTTATCTTCCTTATTTCCAATGGTTAGTTCCTTCAATAAGATTTTAAATAACTATAAGCAGTTTTAGAACACCCAATTGTTGTACTGCAGTTTTTCAGTTGAAAGCTTTTAACCATCTCATTCAAAAACATGCCCACAGTCATTCACCTAGAACCAAAGCTTTAATTTTATTTTATGCACCACAATGTTCAACCAGACCCAAAGTAAAAAGCCAACTCTAAGACCATCTCACATTGAAAACTACAGGTCAGCGTCACTACTACCCTGAATATCCAGGGTCATATTGCGTGTGGGTTCCACCAAAGTCTCAGACTATCTCTCATAATATATCATTATATAATATTATCCACTTGATCCAAATAGTATAGTTTCTTACACAGAGATAAATAGAGATAGACATATACGCCCAGTACCCCCTGACTCTCACCAACATGCTTCATGATTAATACTAACTTTCACTCAGTATGCTACAACTGATGCTCAGTCATGTTGCTTCAATCAGCCAAAGACAGGTCTTGTCACTCACTTATGTCACCTACAGTGTGGCCACTTGAACAGCACTGACCTGAGCCTTCTCGTTCACTAATGTACAATGACTCATTCCATCTTGACCTACAGTAAAAGTATAGTTAAAACAGCATATACTATAGATTGCATGATGAAGTTCCAATTGTTGATCTCTACACTGTTGTACAACTAATGATAATACAAAACAACTATTCTACTTGTCTTGTAAATGTGCTCCTCACCTAAATGATATAGAATATGAACGTTTTTTTTGTCAATTTCTGTCTCACTTCATGTTAGTGATGTCAGAGTCTGGAGGCCACCATTCCTCCGTCTCCTCCATCTCCTCAATCTCTTTGGTGGAGATCAAATCCGAGACTCATCTAGTCCTCCAGGCATTTCTTCATCGGACCCTTTCTACCCCAATGAAAGAGAGGCCTGGTAGAGTAGGGGGTGCTTACAGTGAGCACAACAAGTACAGGTAATGTAAATTAGCCCTATGAACTGACACTCTACATTTACCTTATATGAGTGATGACGTGCTTTTTGGCTGTATTTGAATATGACAACCTTTGAACCTGCTATTCACTATACTCTCATGCTTTCCGATGCTAGCTCCAAGCCACAGACAAAAGCAAAGGATGGGTGCGATTCTCAGACTGAAGATGTCAGTTCAGCAGATGCGAAGAAGACTGGATTCAAAGACTTTATAAAGCAGTTGCCACATCGCAACAACTCACATCGCTCTGTTAAAGATCCTAAAGGCTCACTGGACAGGAAGAGCACGGCAAAATTGTCACACAACAGAGACCAAACAGAGGTGAGGAAGTATAATTCTTTATTGCACTATTTTTCAAGAGATTTTGCTTCCTGATTTCAGATAAAGTGCAGTCCACCAGCAAGGACCATGCCACCACTAGAAGGGCACTTAGAGAGAGCATACCCCTCACCAAGATTTAAAGGGATCGTTCACCCAAAAATAAAAATGATTCTACTCACCACTATGCAGATGGAGGGGTGGGTGAAGTGTTTGAGTCCACAGAACACTTTTGGAGTTTTAAGGGTAAACAGTGTTGCAGCCAATTCCAATACAATTGAAGTACCTGGTGACCACTTCTTCAAACTTAAAATGCCTCCACACTTCTCCTGTGTCATCCAAGTGTCTGCAAGTGCCGACATTCAAATTCAACTCTAAACAGTGTAATATAGTCTAAATGTCTGCTGTTATTCTCCTCCGGAGGGTGTGTAACTGCATCAACTGGATCACAACCCTCCATAGGCATAGTGGTGAGTGATAATGAGTGAATTTTCATTTTGGACCCTTCATTTTGTGAACTGATAAAAGTAAATATAAATTCACTAGCTCCTCATATAATTCAGTCCCCTCAACATGCAAGATTTTTAGCATCAATTAATTATTCTCTAAGAAATCAATGAAAATGTTGCAAAGTTCCTTATTGTGCAATGTTAAAGAAAGTGAAAAAAAAATCCTGGATTTGCCCCCTGATTGAGATCTGCAGCTAAATATAATGGCTTCTTTCCTGACCCATACCATATCCTTCATCCAAGTTTTGTCATTCAGTAGCAGACAAACAAACGCAGATACAAAAATGTAGCCTCGCTAAAAAAATAAGTGATTTAAATGTTTAGCCAAGGTAAAGTGCACCATCCTCCTCCATAGTATCCACTGAAACCTAAGGAACTGTGTCTGTGAAAAATGTAATGGGCCTTCACCAATATCACTTTTTTTCTTTAAATGTTTTTTTTTTTTTGTTCTAAAGAAAGTTCCTAAGAAAATGTAAAGTCAGATTCATGACATGTGACAAAGTCAGTGCTCCATCTGATTAGCCAGATATGTTGACATGCAGGGGTTGAATGCATGGCACATGGAACACCATTAATCGCAGTTTAAACCGTCTTTTGCAATATATATATCGTTGATATCTCGATGACAATAGATTTTCCATACATCAACAGTAACGTTTATTTGTTTGTTGCCACAATATCTACACTGATCATCACATAATGATGGATACCTTTCTTAATAAGTTCAATCTTTCTTCAGTGCAGCCCGTGCATTCATGAGCTGTCCCGTTTGCTCTTTTCCCCCCTCTCTCTCTCTCTCACTCTCTCCATCACACACAAACAGTGTGATCAGACACATGTGTAAACTCTGTCTGGGTAAAAGCAGACTTTGTGAACTTAATCAATGTATGTAGAGCTGGAGGAGAAAGTGGCAAAGTAGAGATCAAGCTCTCTGATACTGGGCTGTATGTTTAACTCCAGAAAGTCTTGATAATAAGTTGATCTCCTTCTGACCTGCAGAGAGTCAAGGCATCTATGCCTATGAACACAGAGCTGGTGTGACCAAATTTTTGCTTCATCAGTCTACAGGAAGTTCTCCCGGAAGTAATTTGGCTTGTCAACACACATTTCATCAAACTCCACTCAGTTTTTCTTTTGTTTAAAAACTTTGATCTTCTTGAGTCATTTTCTGTGGAACCCATGCATTTTCAGTCTGGGATCACTCTTCCTCATGTAGCCAGCAGCTACATCTAGGGACATTCTCTAGACAGTTGAGACTGACAGTCCCATGTACCTTACTGTTTTTTTAACAGTATTAGTAGCTGTGGGTACGTACGTAAGTATGAAGACAATTGTAATACTAATTAAAGATAGTAGTCAGCTAAAAATATTGCGACAATCCACTTACTTTTCCCCACAGTGGTAACAATAATTTGGGCTGGGCTATATTGTGGATTTTTATAATAAGCACGATTTCAGGAAGAATAAAACTTTGTTTCAAATAGAGCTGAGGGTACAAACATTTCCGATGTGTTATCAACTGAGACAATATAAGTTAGGTACATTTATTACTCATGTAATGTCCAAGCTGATCGGTGTAGGATAAGTATTCATAACACACAGAATCACCACAGCTTCAATGTTGAGCATAAGAACATGTTTCCACAGGATGATGTCGTTTTCCCACCCTCTACATCAGAAGATGATGAAAGTGAGAAGAAACAGCTGAAGAAGCCGAAGCAAGGGAAATTTAGAAAAAAGATTTCAAAGTTCATCAGGTCAAAAAAGTTGGAGAGAGAAGACAAAGATGGGCATGGATCCTCTGCCAATAAGCCTACTACGCCAGCAAATGAAGTATTAGAACCCACACCACCCATTATCTCTCCCAGTAAGCTCTTCCATTACACTATCAAATTATACTAAACAGCTTTAGCTGTAGTCATTCATTTGTTTGCTGTCTAAAGTTAAAGTTGTTTTTTTCAATATGCTCCTTATGATAATGTGGACCTCCAAAGTGCAGTTTGTATGCTGATGTTGACTGCTAAGCCTAGAATCCTTAGAAAGCTTAGATGTTATAGACACCTCAAGTTTCAAGTTTGTTTATCATATGCAAGTTAACACAGGTCAACAGTACAATGAAAAGTGTTGGAAAAGAAGAAACCAGTCAGCTCAGCAGTGCAATAGTTAAATTAATATTAAAGCAAGCTAGAATAATAAGTGTTTACTTTTAAGTGTCAGTCTGTGTTTTTGTGGGCAATTGAAGGCTTCATCTGATATACTTATGTTATTGTAATGTTGATATAGACCACCCTCCTGAGTTCTATAATGAGGTAGCAGAGAAGCTGGAAAAGATTGCACAGAGGTCCACCAGCATAAAGAAACTGAGATCTACAACCCAGCTTTCACAAGGTAAACCCTCTACTCACACACACGCATGTGCGTACACACACGATATTCATGATCCATGAGTCTAGTGGGGAACCAAGGCCCGGGGTGTAAACGTTCTGACCACTTTCTGGGGGATGATGGTGTAGTGGACACGTGATGGACAGAATTCACCAAAGACTGTTGATGTGGTTTACACTGTTATTGGATTTGCACTACGTTGTTTTGCACTGTCACTCGCTCCTGTAGGGGCTGTGGGGTTACTGTGGTAACAAGGGCACCAGGAGGGGTTAAAAGCGGATGTTGTGATGACACCTGGAAGTTCTCTGTAACCGGAAAAAGTTTGTAAATAAAAGCCCATGAGAGGTGCAGAAAACAAGACTATTCCATCCCATCGACTCCGACTCCAGAGACGGACATGGTAACGAACACAGTTTTGCAAGCCATGGCGTGGTTTGCTCAGACAGAGGCACAGTTTGCCATCAGAGCCATTACAGTGGATACCAAGTATTATTATGTCGTCACAAATTATAGACCGTGATCCCATTTATCAGGCCCTACTCTCTCAAAGTCTGGGAGATGTGTTCTCACCAGCCAGTAGACAATGGAACGAATGTCAGCAAATTGGGAAAAGCCAGCCCTCCATTCACTAAAGGTTTACACAATTGATCCTTCTTTCTTTATTCTATGTATCTCATAATCCCACACAAAACAGAGATTGATTGAATGGAAGAATGCCTTCATAATGAATACTGGTATGTTCTGGAGGGGATATGGCAGCTGTAGGAGGAATATCATCTTAATAGCGTTTGTTCTGCCTAATAACGATAATGGAAGCATTTTACAAAAATGAGTGCTCTGAAGTTTATCTAGTTTATCAAAGTTAGCCTTTAACATTGCATTATAATATTTGGTAATAACTATACCCATGTATGTAAACCTCTCTTTTTCATCCTAAAGGGGAGTTGATGGAGCTATTAATGATTCATAATGCAAATTGGCATGAGCTCAATCTTATCCCAATTAACTCTGTTCCCAGCAAAGTTTTGCCCACAAGGTTGATATGCTGCGGTGTGTGTCCGGTGATGGACTAAGAAGAGCCCCTAGGCCCACAGCTTTAGGCACCCTGACCCTCAAGTGGCCAATTCCAAGTTCATAAGACAATGCTCACTTTAGGCAACAGTCATAATAAGCAATCCATCATCAGGAATGCTGAAACAAGTTCAGAAATGTTGTGTTCTAGATGCCAATGTCCGCGATATAGACGAAATGCTATTGAAATCCTTACAAACCCGACATTACTAAGGTCATTGTGCATATAGGCAATTATGATAACTGCAAAGAGGAGTCTGAACTACTAAAGAGGGGGGTTTTTGTACTTGTTTTGTTCACTGAACAGATCAGTGAGGCACATATACACGTTTGGCCATATTCCATCTCGTGGCCTTGGTTTTGGGCATCTCCCTGTTCTGGGACAGTTATTAAGAACATATGACATACAAATTGGCTGGGGGCAAAACTGCTGTTCTCAAACATTTCATTCAGTGTCGCACACATGAAAGTGCAAAGTGCAGGACAGGGTGAAGGTATATGTTGTGGTGATGTGTTGCCCTGACTTTAATGGATTGCTTTAATCGGCGGCTGTGGCTGAGGGGCAGCTTGGCAGTTCAATCCCCAGCCTTCCACATCTGCATGCTGAAGATAGTAGGCTTTTTATCCCAGCTGAAAGTGGCCTACAGAGGAAACATGCCACCTGAGAGCAGTATGACTCACTGTCAATGACGGCAACGTTTTTGTCTCTTTCTTTTAGACGTGTGTGACAAAGAGGCGGTTGTGCAGCAGCTTGTTCAGGTGCTCTGTTTTGAGGGAGATTCTATCAACACCAAGGTAGGCAGTGGTTCAGCATCAGGTGTTTAAAGCTAAATTAGTCATTTATATCTTATATATATTATATATATAAATATTGACAGCTCTTTGTTTTTTAAGAAGTGACATTTGACCCACAAACTCTGTATACTACAGTCATATTGAGCTGATCTAGGATGTTTGATAGAAAAAGATATTGATGGGACATCATACGTTGGTGGCCACCATAACAATATAGGGTAAAAAATGTAGAAACACAGACTCACTGGATACAGAGACAGATAAACACAAAGTATAATTCAAGACACAGTTTAAGGATTCTTCACGTGAATGTGTAGTTCTATGTGTAAACCAGCTCTACCTACAGTAGAGTTTATTCCTAAATGCACATCTTTTTACAGATCCAGTCAGACTCTTTCCTGCGCTCCAGCTTTGCTCGTCTTTCGTATGGATCATTTGCCAAGCTTCTAGACACTGTGAGTCAGGTATCTGAGGCCCCGCCCTCGCCGCCATCAGCTAGTCCAACACTGCAACGCATGGCTGTCAGCATGGAGGTGTCACGGCGGATAGTGACAGCCACTGGAACCATGCGCATGAAGGGCTTTGCAGAGTGCTACATGGAGAACTTTGCCTCCTGGGTAAAGTGTCATGGAGGATGGGTGAGTGATTAAAAACACTTCTATCTTCCATTATTCCACCAAAGACGTAAATCTCATAATTGAGGGTTAAATAATTCCCCAGGCCTGCCTGAAAAAGTTAAGGATGGGTAAAGTGATGAGGCAATGCTAGTTAAAATTATATAGTAAATGAACCGGTAACACTTTATATGAGGGAACACACAAAGTGAACATATCCAAGCACTTGATAGTAATTCATGTACAACAACTTCCTTACTTACCATCAATTATCAGTAATTAGGAGGTTATGAAGGGAAAACTGTTAATCAGTGGAGCAGTTGCAGAATAAGGTCATTAAGAATAAGGCATGAATAAGTGCTTTATAATGACTAATAAAGAGCCAATATGGTAACGGTTTAATTACTCATCAGTTCATATAAATGCTCATAGATTTTTTTGTCTGGTCCCTTGTTTTTGATGACATGGCATACTCACAGACCTGCTGCCTCTGAGTTTTAGCACCCATAACCAAATTTCCTCTCATCACTGTTCAGCTGTATAGATGGATAGTAAGTCATGCTCACCCATTCACACACACATTCATACAGAGCTGCTGGATGAGGTGGGTTTTTTTATCACACACCATTTATATACACTGGCAATTTGGGCTTCAGTATCTTGACTAAGGAATGCAGACTGGAGACCTTTATGGTTAGTGGACGACCCCTTCTACTTCTTGAGCCACAGTTGCCCAAGTATATAAAGGTTGGAGAGGATAGAGCTTTGAGGGATGGAGATATGTGGAATCCATATTGCATTTTATTGTATTTTATGTTATTCAAATTGAACTCAATGATTTTACTCAGAAAGGTGAGGTTACAGATTGGCCTATAGTTAGGGCTCGAGCACTGACAGTGCGAAGGCCCTATTGAAACTGATCAGATTATTATTATTTTCCTTGGGGGGCATTTTCAGGGCCTAGACATGCTCAATAATCGTGAAACTTTGCATGAAATTCAAAGCCTAAAAACAATTTCGTATTCTGGATTAATTTGAAATGGGCGTGGCAAAATGGCGCTACCTAAGGGAAGTTTGCTTTCACCGATCTACACGAAAATCTGTACACATGTATTATGACCAGAGGCAAAAGGAAGTTGGCCATTTTGGATTTAGTGGCCATTTTGGCCATTTAACAGGTTGTGTATTTAACCGAACTCCGCCTAGAGCTTTCATCAGATCAACTTTGGTGAATGTCATCTTAACAAGATGGAGATTAAAACTATTTATATAACGATTTTTGAGTTTTCGCCAGAGGGTGTGGGCATGGCGTCAAAGTTTGGTTAAACGCCATCGAAACATGAGGCTGTTGTATCTCGGACATACATCGTCCAATCTAAACTAAACACATAAGACAAGAGTCCTGGCCTGATGACATCTACATAGAAATTATTACTTAAAATCACAGTGCCCCCGAGTGTTACTTTATGCCTTTATTCTTTTTTTCTTTTTCAGGAGAATGCAGTTTTGGAGGAGCCTGTAGAGTATGACTGAGTTCTAAAACCTACCAAGTGTTTTTTCCAACCAACCACTGGTCAACACTGAACTTTGGATCACATCAGTTTCCAGAGGCCTCGCTGATTCATGATGGCTGGGGAATCAGAAAGCACCGTCACGTCAAGTTTCTCATTTTACAAGCAATCACAAGCTGCTTTCCTGAGAGGGTACTGGGTAAACAGAGGTTGGTAGTGCAGTAACAAAAGATGATCCCTCAGCTGATTCATGCACATACATACCACCACTTTTTTATTGTTGATGTTGTTTGTTTGTTTGTCAGCAAAAACAAGCTGTGAACCCAAACTCTGTATCCCCTCTGTATTCGGTGTCCATCACCTCCTGAAGGAAATATCTGGCTCGGCAGCTCATAATAAAGGAGCTCTATAAAAGAAGTTAGAATTAGCAGAGGAGTAACGTTGTGGTCTGAAAGCTGAAACTCACAAGCTCTGCAAAATCTAATGAAATCCCCAGATTGAGATGATAACTCTCTGTCAGTTTACTACCACAGTGTCCTTTTACAATAACACATTGTTTTCACATCCTCAACTGATGAATTGCAAAGGCAAGGTCTATTATCTATAAACAACAAAGGGTTGCCCCGCCACCAAATCTCAATTTGCCTGATTAAAACTATCTTTCACTGTCAAGTTCATTGACTCACAGGTCTATTTGAAACACCACTGTACACACTGTCAAGTTTACATGTGACATGTTTGCATCAATTATGTTTGATGGGGTCAAATAATGTGAACAACTGTGTATTTTATATTGTTTTTAATCAAATGTATATTTACTCTCAGACAGATGCAACTCTCTGCATGGCTTTATTAGAGTAGGAAAGAAAGCAGACCAGTGCAATAACTTGTCATTAACAAGAGATATAGGCAAATGGGGCTGGGAGGGAAACAAGAATAACTGAACTGAGAAATGTTTCAACCAGTCTCAAGAATTCTATGTTTTCATGAAATAAAGGGAATGACTCTTTAATAGAACCAGGGTTTATTTTAATAACAGACTTGTTCTGTTGACCTGCAATGATAACACCTGCATTCAGTGTCTTAAAACATTTGACAAGTGTACCCAAGATAAGCCACGAGGGACTCAACCTGACACCTTAGTCTGGATATGAAAACATGAAACCACACCTGACCTCCTGAATGTGGGCCGTGATGAGGTTGCATGTGTTCTACATTGTATCATTATTGTTTTATTATTATTAAGAAGATGATGATTTCACATTTTTACATTTATAATGAACTGAAAATAATGTGTTTATTTCTATAAAATGTGATTTTTAAAGCTCTGTAAATATGGGTTTTCTATCTATTCATTTTATATAAAAGTTTCTTCAGAAACTACCTCTAACTGATGTGACTGTTTGCTATTGTGCTTTTGCTTGTGGTGTTTCTCATTGTAGTTAAGACTTTGTCATGTCATTATTCAGAAGCAGTTTGGTCAACCTTTAAAAAAGATGCAGTCTTAAAACAAAGCTTCACATCCAAGAGAAAATGGCAAAGCTGCGAAACAATTATATATATTTGAACGTACCGTTTTTGTAATGTTCCAAACAAACAATACTCCACCCCAAAAATCTATTTCAGGTTTTACTTTTCAATACATTCCATTTCAGTTCAGTTGTTTTCCAAAAAATGAGCATCAACGTCACGGTCCAACAAGCCCAAAAAGTATCCATATTTCAGCCATTCACAAGTTAATCGTTTTAATACAGGGTCAACTAAAAGATTTTCCTGCTATAATATTCAAAATTGTCATTATCTCTAATTGTCCAATTGTCTATTTTCCTCCTCTGACCCTGTTCAGACCTGGTATAACATCCATCCTAGGTAACCTGTAGTGAACAGCTATAAATAAACTGAACACACCCAAGATGTCCTCTGACCCTTTACAGTTTGATGATGAAGAGTCGCTCAGACCATTCTGCCTCCACTCTCCATTTCTCTCTTTCTCCTCACACCAACGGAGACACATCATAGAATAGTCAGACTGGCTAAAAAACATCATATGCAAACAGGAATGATGTGTTGCATTATCTGTTCTTACATATAATCATCAGAACAGTGTCTCATAAAGGATCAGATTAGGTTTCACTCTGTTCATTATTTTTCCTCCACAGTCGCCAAAGTGGTGCAGACTGAACAAACACCTTTTGAGTTTGTATGACAACTGAAGCTACCACAGGTTCTTTCTCATGTTTGGAAGGAGAGGGTGAGGTGAGGGGTGTTCAGCTGCAACATGCAACTTCAACACTAGATATCACTAAATTCTACACACTGTACCTTTAAGCCAAGTTTTAATATATTGACAACAATATTAAAACTTACCTGTCTTGTCAGCAAATATTCAATTCAATTCCATTTTATTTGTATAGCACCAAATCATAATATACATTATCTCAAGGCACTTTACATAGAAGGTCAAGACCTTCAAATCTTTGTTAAA